ACAATTATTCTGTAGAATATTTCTATTTAATTTGCTCTTTTTGGTCAAATAAAAGGATCAAAGTATCAGATGCTCAGTGTCAGGTTGCAAGTTGTGAATAATTAATGGCTAGCAATCCACCTTGTCACTCACTCTCATTCAGCCTCACTCATGGTAAGACAGTGAACTGGAGGTGGAGAGGAAGGTACAAGAGCCAAAATAAAGGGAGAGAATTGTAGTTGGTGTGTATAGGTGAGGGGGGGAATGAAATGTCACAAGTATTGAACCTGAGAGCCTGGAACGAAGTGGTCCTATTTATAGAAATGAGGAAGGCACATGGTATATACGTTTCGAAGAGAAGATGGGCTCCGATTTGGAGAAATTGAATTTAAAATGTTCATAGAACACTCAGGCAAAGAGTGAATAATCAGTTGGGAATGCAGAACAAGTGGTTGAGACAGGATTCTGCATCACAGAAACAAACTCTGGTCCATTCATGTAGAAGCCAAAATATTCAACACATTTATTTAACTGATTAAGTACCCAGAGTATGCAAAATGCTGTGCTAGAGACTGTGGATTGTAAAATTAAAAAAAAAAAAGAAAAAAGAATTTTACATCATGTGGTCTTTACCTTTCAAGAACTTGCAGGNAAAAAAAAAAAGAAAAAAGAATTTTACATCATGTGGTCTTTACCTTTCAAGAACTTGCAGGATGTGGGTGGATACATAAAGAAATGTAATGAGGCAGACAGACAAGTACTGTAGTGGGAGGTTGTTGGAGGGGAAGATTAATTCAGACTGGGGAATTTGCAAAGATTCTCAAAGGAGACAATTTCAGCTTAGTCTGGAAGAATTAGTGGGATTTGAAGAGTTGTGGCAAAGGGCATTTCAGGAAAAGGAAACAGCTTTAGAAGAGGCAGGAAGTTAAAAAGAGTAAGATGTGTTGTTTGGGGCTACCAATGTACCTGTATCTCGTGATAAGTGAGAAAGTGTAATGGAGGGTGGAGATTAAAAAGAAAGCTGTAAACCAATTTATGATTTCTGAAAGCCAAACTACAGAATTATGAAAGGAATGGGAATCACCAAAGGTTTTCTAGCAGAGGAGTGACATGACTTTGGGAAGTTAACTCTTAGTTTTGTTTAAAAGTACAGTACCTCAGTTGAAGTTAGGAAATCCAAAAATGACCAGTTAAGAGAAAACTGTGTGAGTATACTAAAGCAATGAGCAAGAAGGTGAAACAAACAGAGCTCAAGAAAGAAACTTAAAGAACCTCTATATTTAGCATCACAGGAAAAAGTACAGTCAAAACTGGGAGACCCCACTTTTTATAGACACAGATTCTAGCCTTGGACTGCAAATATCTCTCTGCAGTTAGACATGAATATCCTTAAAATTACACTGAAAATGTTATTAACAAATTCTTCCATGATTGTATTATCCTCAAGTCTTAATTTAGCTGAGTTAGACTTATCACCATCCCTCCGTTGACTAGATTTTTATTATAAATC